ACAGCTTGAGCATATGATCTTACAATAATGGTGACAACATGAACAAGATTTAAAAAAAAAAAAAAAAAAAAAAAAAAAAAAAAAAAAAGCATTGGCTGCTCTTGCAAAGGATAATGGGTTTGATTCGCAGTGACCACATGGCAGCTCACAACCACCAATAACTCCAGTTCTAGGGGATCCAATGCCCTCTCTGATCTCCACGGGCATTGTACAACACAGGTGCGCTTACATACATGTAGATAATACACTCACATACATAAAATAAAATTCTAAAAAAATGTTTTACAAAGAAAAAAAAAATCAGGGCTCAGGCTATTAACTGTATCTCAGTTAACAGAGTGCTTGCCTAACACACACAAAGTCCAGGGTTCATCCCCAGTACCTCATAAACCAGGTATGGTGGCAAATACCTGTTATTGCAGCATTGGGGAAGGGGAAGAAGGAATTCAAGGGCATCCTTACCTACATAATAAGTTCAAGGCCAGGTGTGCTACATGAGTCCATCTTAAAAATAATAATAATAATCAGGGGTTCTTAAAATAATAATATAGTTTTAGGAAAATAAACGAACGAGAACACATACATAGACACACACCCAGTTACCTACGAAAAGTCTCATTCTGTTACCTAGGCTGGCCTCGAACTTGTACTCAAAAGCCATCTTGCAGTATTAGCGCTCACCTCCTCTGTCACCAAGTAGCTGGGTCCAGGCCACTACAGCATCCAGCTGACATGTATTCTTTGAAAAGCACAATATAAATAATAGAGCAAGACTTAATCATGACTGTCCCTGAAAAGCCTCAATTCCTAGATGCTAACAGACTGGCATAGCAGACAGGAGCACAAACATTCTCATATATGGTATGTGGAGAAAAGAAACATGGTTCTCTCCTGCTGTGTCTAATTTTGTTGGGACAGCATGAGTATCTAAACCTTCATATCTAAGAAGACTAGTAAGAGAGAAAAGGACAAAAGAGATTATTCCTGAAATAGTAACAAAATCAGCAGCTTAGATTAGTAAAAGGATCAAGAAGACAGTTTATGCTTTCCTTTCTCCAAAACAGTATTTGAGAAAGACTGGACTGAGGGTTGAGGAAACCCAAGACATACAATGAAAACAGAGTAAGTGTGCCAGCATGTGACTCAGCTAGGGTGCCACTCGTCACTGAGCGTGACACAGCCTCCAAAAGGATTCCATAAGGCCACCCTACAACTAAGAATTTCAACACAGCTGCCGCACCTCACAAAACCTCAATTCTAAACTACTTGTCAAAGTTAGGAATTTTCAACTACTACTGATTTGGGACACATCTTGAAATAAGACAGAAACTAGTTTCTGCAATCTCTGGAGCAACTAGGTAACTGTAAAATAATGAAGGCAAAACCAACAAACCTCAAATCCCTTTTATGTTGTTCTGATGACCTAAGGTCTTTGTCAATAAAATACAAAGTATCTGTTCCATAAAGTTCCTTTAGGTCAAAAGGATTCTCCATTGATAACTCATCTGGTAAATGACATACCAAATAGTTTAATGGATTCTGAATGCCCTTAAAAAGACAGAAATGGAAAAGTGGCCTATTTTCCTTATGAAAATTTACTTTTGCTTATTTACTCAAATTTCTAGAGCAACAAACTGCAACTTAAAAAAAAATGTTAATGGAACAGTTCCCCCTATTTTCATATTTCTTAACATCCTTCCTCTTTTTGTTCCTGCAACTTAAAAACAAAACAAAACAAACAAAATAAAAACCCTGCTGCTGTACTTTTCCTTAGGATTTTCCCTGAGCTCACAGGATGCCAGCTAGCACCAATTATAGCAAGGTTATTTTGCTTGTTTCATTGAAGCCAAATGGGTGAGAACAGTTGACCAAGTATTGAGATCTGCTTTCACGGTCAGTGAGATGGCTCAGCCAGTGGGGGCACTTGCCCCCAGGCTTGATCACCTGAGTTTGATCCCAGGTCACCACAAAATAGAAGAACCAACTTCCACAAATTGTGTTCTGACCTCCACATGTTGTGGTATGCACATGCATGCCGCCCTCCCCCACACATATACAAATACATGTAACAAAATTTTCACTCAGGAGGCAGAGGCAGATGGATCTCTGCGAGTTAAGGCCAGCCTGGTCTATATAAGTGAGTTCCAGGACAGCTGGGGCTACAGGGAGACCCTGTCTCAAAAAGACCAAAAAAAAAAAAAAAAAGATAGAGAGATCTGATTTCACCTAGGCACAGTAGCTCATGCTTGTAATCCCAGCATTCAGAAGGCTGACTCAAGGTGATTGTTGGGAGTCTGAGGCCAGCCTGGGCTACAGAATGTGACCCTGTCTAAAACAAAGAAAAAACAAGTACCAAAACCAACAAACCAATTCTATAGCTGGCCTTAGCAGTGAGGTTACTTCTCTGTTCAAATAAGATTAGTAAAATCTTATGTGATAAGATGTTCCTAAGCACCAAAAGACTAGGAAGATTATTCTTTTTTTTCATTTTGAATAGAAATTCACGTAACACAAGAAAAGCACATGCTCCAGGTGTAGTGATGTACACCTATATCCCAGTACTCCAGGAGCTGAGGCTAGAGGATGAGTTGGAGGCCAGCCTGGGCTACACAGTCAAACCTTAAAAAAAAAAAAAGCAAAGCTACTTTAAAATATACTTCCAAATCGTTTATGCCAAGACAAGTTGGTACAAAAGCACAGATGAACTATAATTTAGGTGCCATGTGACACTTATACACTAATATTCTGAGTATATGTGGGAGAGGGGGAGAGGGAGGGAGGGAAGGAGGACCAGCTAGCTCCTGGAGAGGGAGGGAGGGAAGGAGGACCAGCTAGCTCCTGGTCCCAAAACTACTCAAGTCACCTTACTAGCTTCCCTATCAAGGTAATGTGAAAAAAAAAAAAAGTCATCAAGATGGGTGACTTGATCCAATCTAAAATACATTAAAAAACCTAGTTCAGGCATGAACTGGACACTCAAGTGCCAAATAAAAGCCATTCAGTGACAATCCCAGGGGCTCAAAGGCAGCCTGAAGGTGTTCTGTGGTTTGAGACTGTACCTCAGTGGCAGTGACAGAGCCCTGGGTTCAATTCCCAGCATTCACTCTCCCAAAACTCTTCCCCTCTTTTCACCCAGGGGTCTTTCCCTGGTGTTTCTCTTCTCCCCTAAACAGAGCCAACTGAGAATTGTGCTTTCAAGCTTCACCAGCATGGAACACAGATAGCTATCACCATCAAAAATAGAATGGAGGCGAGGCACTGTGGTGCATGCCTGTAACTGAAGCACTTGGGAGGTGGAGAAGAATCAGAAGTTCAAGGCCAGCTTGGGCTACATGAAACCAAAGACTAGAAATTCAAACAACTGGTAACTTGTTTGGGGTTTTTTGCGGTACTAGGGAATAAAGTTAGGTCCTGCACATGTGCTCTACCACTGAATTAGATCTCCAGTCCTCTTTTTACTTATTTTAAGACAGGGTCTCATTAAGTTTTCCAGGCAGGCCTTGAACTTGCGAAAATCCTACCTCAGCCCCCTGAGAAGCTAGGATTACAGGCCAGAGCCACCAGATAGGGCTGGTAATTTCTTCATTTAAGTTTTATTTCTAACAAGAGACTGTAATGGTGCATGCCTTTAATACCAGCACTGAAGGAGACTGAGGACCAGAAGTTCAAGGTCAGCCTCTGCTAAACAGTCAGACCCTGTCACAAAAAGATAAGAGACTGTGATTAGCACAAAAGGCTAAGGAGCAAAAGAAATACTAAGAACTACCAAAATAGCTATCACACTTTCATTCAACTTTCTGTGAATGAGGTTGTTTGTGATTATGACTTTAAACCGCACTGATAAAAGTCATCTTTTGTCTACAGTCATAGCACTGAACATCTAAAAGTTATCTTTTGTGGGAGGAAAGCTATTCCCAGTTCTCAAGATAAGACATACATTTGCTCCCAATTCAGTATTGCACAAGCTACCTGGCATCTGCATGTCACATCTCCCAAACAAGTCATACCATAAACTTCATTGCTCTGTTTTCATTTTTAATCTAACAAAAAAAATGTAAAACAACAGGTTCTCCCTCTGTTTGAGAAATATCCAGAATAAACAGTCTCTGGGGTCAGAAGGAGGAAACTATTCTTGGTTCCTGAAATTACAATTTTAGAGTTTAGGAGCACAATGCTTGTGTGTAGGGAAAACATGGTTTGAGAATATTTGTTAAAAAAGAAATACAGAAGCACCGAACACAAAAGCACTTTCCCGCTAAGATCACCTAAAAAAGATAAAGTCTCAGAACTACAAATCAACAAATAAAATCAATGTTAGGTGGTTTTTCCATAGAACCTAATGCCCTGTATTCTCAGAATCCTAAAAGTAGCAAAAATCTAACCTAACTCTTGAAGGTTAAAATGTTCGGGCCACTTCGTGTACAAACAGGCAAAACCCCTCCCAGGCTCTCGAATCTGCCAAGACACAAGTCACAGTGACAGAGGGCTCTCAGGGCATTTCTCACAAGGCCCGAATCCCATCTGGATTGCAGTCATTTTATAAATGGCAGCATCAAACACACCGTGGGGCCTAGTTTAAAGGCCACTTTGAATCTGCACTTTTCAGGGTGTGGGCGTGTTGATGATGGCCTCCATCCCTTAGATAGCTCATTTATTTTTAGACTATTTCTTTACTGCCATACTATCCATTCCAAGTCTTTTCCCCCTCCCCGGCCCGAGACTAACCCACACGTCCAGGGTTTTGTTTTTTGATACACGGTCTCCCTGTAGCCCCAGCTGCCTTGGAGCTCGCTAGATAGCACAGCTGGCCTCGACCAGTTCTTATTTTTAACCTGACAAAATTAGCACGCATGGGCTGTAACGAGGGTTGCTGAAACGGGTTTCATCGCTCCTAACGCCACTCAAAGATACCGGGTAAACGAGGACAGTGAGCACAAGACAGGCCCCACAGTGCCCAGGCCCAGGCCTCTCCACCGAACCCAAAGGGCTCACCTCTGCAACTCCTCCTCCTGGATCCTCTCCTCGTCCCACACGAAGACCCCGGCGAGCGCCGCCATCAAGGCAGAGGCATGGCCGGGCCGGCCGCGCAGCCGGCGCCAGAGGCGTCCGAGTAGGACGCAGCGCGAGCTCTCCGAGTACAGGCGGCCGTACAGCTGCGCAATCTGCTGCGCGCGCCGCACGCGCAGCCCGGTCACGTAGCGGCACTGATTGGCCAGCACGGCCAGCAGGCCCCCGCCCCGCGTGCCCGCCAACCAGGCGGCCAGGGCGGCCGGCGGCCTCCTCGGGAACATGTGCCCCCTCGGTCCCCGCGCCCGCCGCGAGGCTTCCACGAGGAGGGGCCCAACCGTCCGCGGAGTACCCCTAACTGGCAGACCCCGAACCCGCAACACGGTTCCGAGGCCAGGAACCGCCCCTCATGTCTCTCTGCAGCAGCCGCTGAGGAGAGCGCCGCTGCACGAGGCCTCTCCGGCTTGGCCCCCCTCGCTCCTCGGCGTGTCCCACGAGAGCTCGGGGGTCGCAGCGAGGAGTCAGCGGGAAGCGGAGAGGTGGGCGTCCCGGGCCCGCTGCAGGGAAGGTCCCGAGTGCTCCGTGTCCGCCACTCACGCCGCGCGCGCGCAGCCTACCCACGTCTCGCTGCCCGCACTCTGATTGGACGCAGCCCAGACACCTGGGTGCTCATTGGCGGAGCCAAAGTGCTCGTCAACGCTCCCTCCCGCCCCGGTGCTAGCAAACTAGGTGACACGGCGCGAGGGCCTGTCAAGGGCGCGCGTAGTGGGGGGAGGGATATGACCTTCTGGCCCACCGCTGCCGTCCTTTCCCGCCCGCGGAGGGGAGCGGTCAGGTGAGGTGTTCCCCGATGCTTAGAGGCGGGGCCAGTCGCCCTGTTCTGCAGAGTCCAGGCAGGGGCAGATCTCGGAGCGGCCTGTGCGGGGCGCTGCTGGAGCCTTAGGTCGGGTGGAGGGCGGTGGGCGCCCCCGGTGGATCCAGACCCCAAGCGGCCTGAGTTATTCGTCGTCGGAACCTTCCTCGGGTCTCGCAGCCGGGATGCCCTAAGCCCTCCTGAATATGTGCGCCGCCGAGGCGGTCCTTAGGGTTCGGGGACTGAAGAGGACCGGTGGTCCATTCTTAATGCTTGCAGAGGCAGCCACGAGGGCCGGTGGCCTATCGCAGTCTGACACCCGCCGTGGACTTTGCAAGAGCAAGCCCTCGCCAGTTTGAAGGGTAGAAAGCAAATGGGTTTCCCAAAACCTTCCTCTCCAGGAGCAATCTAATGGTTGTTAAATGGTTTCGCTGGGTAAATTACTACTCTACAACCAAACATGCCTGTAATCCCAGCACTCTGGAGAGTGAGGCAAGAACATTGCGAGTTCGAGGCCAGCCTAGGCGACAATGTGTCTCAAAAAAGAATAATAATTTAAAAATTTTGGGTCGGGCTGGAGAGATGGCTCAGCGGTTAAGAACACTGGTTCTTCTTGTAGAAGACCCGGGTTCGAATCCCAGGACCCACATGGCAGTTAACTGTCGTAACTCCAGTCCCAGGGGATCCGACAGCCTCTTGTGACCTCCGCGGGCATTGCACGATACGGATGCACTTACCTACATGCAGACAATACACGCACATAAAATGTAAAAAAAAAAATAAAAGTTTAAAAATTTTGTCTTAAGATGGAAATACTAAATAGGAAGCGCCTACACTAAGATGTTTCTGTGTCATTTTAAAAGCTTATACTTAAGAATCCTACTGACAAAAAGATTGTGGGGGGGTGGGTAACAGGACGCAGTGGGTTTTCCCCTAGGTGAGTAGGAAGCCAGTAAGTACGACTAGGAGATCAGAAAGGAAGGAGAACACAGGGAGCAACTGCCAAAGCAGGGTCTCTCCAAAACATGAAAGGAAGGGAATTGGGAGGGGGGCACTTAACATATCTATACCAAAGAGACTTGACGTTCCATGTTCCATGCACAGGTGGCATCTACATTCTTGCAAAAGCACAGTGCCCGTGCTTCTTCACACAATCCATGTTTAAAAATGCCACATGTGTGGGGCTGGGGAGATGGCTCAGCGGTTAAGAGAGCTGACTGCTCTTGCAGAGGACCTGGGTTTGATTCCTAGCACCCATATGGCAGCTAACAATTGTAACTCCAGTTCCAGGGGACCTGATGCCCTCTTCTGACCTCCATGGGCATTGCACAACATGGGTGCATTTACATACATGCAGGCAATACACTCATACACATAAAATAAAATATAAATAATAAAAATAAATAAGGCTGGGCGTGGTGGCACACCTTTAATCCCAGGACTTGGGAAGCAGAGGCAGGCAGATCTTTGTGAGTTTGAGGCCAGCCTGGTCTACATAGTGAGTTCCAGGACAGCTGAGGCTACAAGGAGACCCTGTCTCAAAAAAGACAAAAAATAATTAATTAAATAAAAAATCACTACAAAAAACAACCAAGAAATAAAAACTCAGGCAAAAGTTTTCTGGTTTGTTTTAAATTCTGTATTTTTATTTTGTGTGCATCTAAGGGGGTGTTCAAGTGAGGAGGCCAGAGGACAATGTGCAAGAGTCTGTTTGCTTCTTCTACCATGTGGGTCCTGGGGTTGAACTCAGGTTGTCAGGCTTGGCAACAGGTACCTTTACCTGCTAAGCCATCTCACCAGGCCCACAAGTTTTAATTGGAAGGAAAAAGGGAGAGGGACATCACTGATCACAGGAGATTCAGGCTGCTGGGTGAAGAAAAGAATAGGCATTTTATCAGGTAGTTGGAGCAGCCATTCTTGTTAGTTGTGAGGATGGCATTTTTTTGAAAATCTTTTCCTCATAGTTTATGGGCATTTTCCACTTAAGATACAGATCAGCAAATAACCAGTTAATCCTTAAAGACATCCTGGCATTATCCTATCCTGGATGTGATTTTTCTCTTGTGATGAGAGGATAAGGAATAGACATATTCCCTGCATTGTTGACAAGGAGGAGAGAAACTCTTGGTGAGTAACAGGTCTTAAGGATTTAAGGGCATGAGCAATTGTCTCTTGACCCTGTAAGGATTCCTATTTCTATCAAAATGAGTCCTCAGGAACTCCTACCCAGTTTGGCCATTTTTTCCATCTCTTCTGGCTGTTTGTCATCACAGTCAAGTTCATCTTCCAAAAGAGCTTTGAACAAAAAGAGGTATAATCTTACCCTTCTCTCTCCCACAGCTAAACCTTTTTTTTTTTTTTTTTTTTTTTTTGGTGCTAGGGATTAAATCCAGGGCTTTGCACATACCAAGCACACATTTTACCACTGAACTACTCTCTTGGTTTACACTTTGTTTTTTATTTTATTTATGTGTTTGTTTGGTGGGGGGTTATATGGAAACACACTGTAGCCCAGGCTAGCCTGGAAGTCACTATGTAACTCAGGGTAGCAGTCCTCTTGCCTGAGCCTCCTAAGTGGTGGACTTACAGGTGTGCACCACCACACTAGCTAAAATTATTTTTAAATGATAATGTTATATCACCTTTAAATTTATTTTTATTTTTATGTGTATGAGTATTTTGCTTACATTTTTGTAAGTGTACCACATGCATGCAATGCCGGTGGAGGCCAGAAGAGCATGTTGTATCCTGGGAATTGGAGTTACAGACAGTTGTTAGCCCCCATGTTGGTGCTGGAAACTTAAGTCCTCTGCAAGAGCATCCAATCCTTTCAACCGTTTAGCCATCTCCCCAGCCCCACTGTATCAATTTTAATCAAGTCTTTATACCATATCAGTTTGGCATTCATCATTATTCTTCTTTTTAAAAGTTTTTGCTTTTTGAGACAGGGTCTGGCTATGTACTCCACACTGGCCTTGTAATTTTGATTCTCCTGCCTCAGCCTTCTAAGTACTGAGTACTGGGGCTACAGGCATGTCTAGAAAAATGTCCTAATGAAATATATTTTCAGCCTAAGTTATTTTTTCCCTAGTACTGGGAATTGGACCCAGGGTCCCAGGTATGCCAAGCACATGCTATCACTGAGCTACACCCTCATCCTCCAGCATAAGGTCTTTATTGATCACATAAGTTACCATTTTGCAGTTGGCATGATGGTTCATACCTATACTTGGGAGGCTGAGGTAAGAGAATTGTTGAGTTCAAGGCCAACTTGGGCTACATAGTGAGTTATAGGCCAGCCAAAGCTACACAGTAAGACCCTGTCTCAAAACACACACACGCACATACCATTTATTTTTAAATTTAACATGATCATATCTCTCTACATTATTTTTCTGAACCAAGTTTATATTTCTATCATAAATAAATATATAACACTCAAACATATTAATTATTAAGCATAAAATTTGTTAGATACTTTCCATAATGAGATAGGACTGATAATTCTTTTCAATCTAGAGTTCTGGTTGAATATTATCACTTATAAGTAGGCTAGAAATAGAGTGGTAAACCGGACATAATGGTGCACTCCTGTAATACAAGAATTTGGGAGGTGGAGGCCAGAAGATCAAGCATTAAAGGCCAACCTGAGCTATATCATGAGTTTGAGGCTAATCTGAGCTACATGAGAGCCTGTCTCTAAAGGGAGATCGGGGAGCTGGAGAGACAGTTCAGTGATTAAGAGCACTTACTGCTCTTCCAGAGGCTCTAGGGTTGGTTCCCAGCACCTAGATGAGGGCTCACAACCATCTATAATTCTGGTTCCAGGTGATCTGATGCCCTCTTCTGGCCTCCATGGGCACTGAATGCATGGGTACACTTAAATGCAAGCAAAACACTCATACACATAAATAATTTTTTCAGAAGAGGAAAAGATGTAATCACAAAATCTTCCTATTTTTCATTAAGATAACAAAAACATTCACAGTAGTAGTTAATTCTTTAAACTGTGTATGTCCCTTCTATGTATTATAAGTCTAGTTAGAGTTAAAAAGAAATTTGTATGAAATTTGAGAGACAGAAGTAAAGCAGACTGTTAGTTTCTGAGCATCTTTGCAGTCTGGTGGGATAATGAGGGAGGAGCTGGTGGGTTTCAGTGTGTGTTTATTCTCCTTTGCTCCTCTTGAAGGACTCTCCAGGTTTAGGGCTCTAATGACCAACAATGGCCCCAAGCTCACCACCAGCTGCATACCCACAGAGGCAAAGCTTCTCAGACTTCTCCATGACTTTCCAGCTCCTTGTCCTCAGCTCAGGGACTCAGCTGGGCTCCACTTGGATTCCCCCTCCTGGAGGTACAAAATGGACACTTACTCCAGGCAATAAATGGAACAATCAGATTCACTACCACAATCATGCCGTAAAGCATTTCACTGCCAAGTTCTCTGTGCTCTTTTGCAGCCAAAACTGCATGTGGTATGCTGTATCCTATTTCTGTCTCTTAGCATGCTTCTGAGGTTCACTTACATTGTTCTTTCAGTAGTTTGTTTCTTTTTGTTGTGTAGTATTCCATTATATGAATTCATTGAAATTTGTTCATCTATTTGATGAATATGTCCCTTGTTTCTAGTTTGGGCTAATGTGAATATTGGCATGCAGGTCTTCAGAGTAAACATACTGAAGAGGACCTGCCAGGTGGTTTGGTAAATGTGATTCTTTTTTTGTTTGTTTGTTTTGGGTCTTTTTGAGGCAGGGTCTCCCTGTAGCTCCAGCTGGTC